GAGACTTACGCCAAATCGATAGAGGAAGGCAATAAAGATAGACCGTGAAGCCAGACCAGTTGCATTTTCCCTGGATAAATCTAACTCTATTAAAGACTTGCCGTCACACTTCCTAAATAAATTAATTTTGTTAATGATGAATTCGATAAGATAGCCAATTAAATTGGACTGATAAGTCGCTTGCAATATTCCATTTAAGCAGCTGATACAGACTCCTAAGTCTTGCTGGAGCCATCCCAATTCTGAACGAATATTAGGAGAGGCAAACTAAAATAGGAGAAAAAGAAAACGTTAAGTGAAGGCATGGGTCGAGATGAGGATATATAAGTAATAATACAAGAGAATATCATTTTTATAAGGGTAAAATAAATAAATAAATATCAAACCTGAAGCAAACGGTCCACTTCTTCTATCAAAAGTAATCGGACGGCTGCCTTTGGCCTGTCAGAAAAGAGATTTATTAGGTCGTTTATGACACGCGCCATCTGCGGCTCTGAAAGGCGATTCAAAATACGACGAATATCCCGGCGAATGAGAAGCATCTCTGAATTGATGGATACAATTTCATGATCAGATGTTCCCGCCGACTTGCGAGAATCTTCTATACCAAGGTTTAATGGTCGAGATTCGGCAGCAACCTCTACTTCTTCAGAGCTGTTAAGGCTATAATGATCAAGTGGGGTAGCATTTTCGTCTTGTGACGATGAAACTATATCATGGGTTTTCAGAGATTTGCATTTTCGTTTTTGTTTGTCTTGTCCATAGAGGTCCTGAGGGGCTTTGAAACGTAATAAAAAATAGCAATACCTTTTGAAATCTTAGCAGAACCAATAGGTTTCTGATCTTTCTCCGAATCTGAGCCTGAATTTTCGAAGTCTAGCAAGTCTAGAAATGGAAAATAATGCAAACTTTTGCAAGGAAACAAAGGTACAGGACACTAAAAAATATATAAAGCTAATTTCATATAAATGTACAAAAATAGAATGAGATAATGTAAGGCACCTAAATAAGACAAAGAGTATGGAATAAAATAGGCAAATAACAAACACTTAAAACCAGTCTTAGGTATAGTTTAGGGAATGATACGCTATCGAATCGTAAGCTTATAGAAATCAAGATTAAAGGAGGTACAGTTTTGTAAATATGAATTCCACCGCCTATACATAATATTCCTGATGAAAATATTGAACAAATAAATAGGGGGTTAAATCAATGACGTAAAATAGTATCAAGGCCGGAGCGGCAGTAAAATAGATCAACGTATCCCAATTTATGTGTATATAAAGTTTAATTAGCTATAAGAAGCGAATCTCCAAGGCTACAAAATGCAAATTTAACACTTTTATGCTATCGAAAATTGGAAAATAGGCGTTAAAATTATATGTGAAAGGATGATCAGCGGTGCGCCAGAAACCAGCAGTAAGGGGAAATAAGAAACATAATGAATTATAAATAAAATGCATTCCAGACAAATTCTACAAAGGTAACACGCTTCGAATGGTTATAAAATATTTATTCGC